ATACATACATACATACATACATACATACATACATACATACATACATAAGTAGATCTCAACCACCTTCTCATCTGGATGGAGATGGTGCGTTTGTTTTCAATTACAATTTCAGTTTCTTTTCTAACACACAACCCTTAAGCCTCACAAACTGAGACCTGTTTATCCAAAATAAATCCAAATGAAGTGGAAGTGTTTGCAAGTGTTTGCTTCCTTACAGTTTCTGCAGTTTCTTACAAATCACTACAGGCTGGAGGCTTGATCCTAACCACGCAGTCTGCTTGTTCTGGCTCTGTTTTAAAAGTCTTTTCTTCACTGGACTGTAGGAGACATACAGTCTCAAGGGGGCAGCAGAGGCTGTCTCATTGTGTCCACAGGGGGCAATCTCTATCAGGGTTGTGTTTACATCCATGGGTTAGATAAAGGGTGGCATTATGGAGGCGTGACAGAGAGGATGTAGGCATAGATAGGGTGTGAGGTCTTTAATGGTGGGGGTTGGCTGAGAGCTGAGAAGTTATGCATTTATTTCAGGGGATTAGGTTCAGAACACAACTACACGTATGTGTAGTCATAGGCTTAATGTTCTTATATTTAGGCTATTTTGAAATATTCAATGTGTGGGCAGTTTTTCCTTCCGTTGTCAGAAAGCTAAAAGTATCAGAGTTTTTTAAGTAAAGAGAAGTCAATTAAGATCATGGGAAGTTTTGGTTGCTAAAATCATTTCCATACTTTCCCCCTAATGAAATACTGACTTTAAAGACACAAAATAACCACCAAAGTAACTTAGAGGCGATGTCTGTGCATTAAATTCAAATTGACTACAAGTACAGTGGTCTCTGAAAAAAGAAAAATGGACGTATTTCTATCAGTTTGGTATCTGCTCCTCCCAACCAGCAGACATCTTCGTAAGGAGTCAGGTCTGATTCTTCATGAGGAAGCAAAGTTGACCGTCATCCCAGGAAGGGTCAACACAAATGCTCATATTCACCATTTAAAACTTGTGAAAATGTATAAGATGCCACAAAAGCTAAAGCAAAAGCCAGGTGGACTTCAGGTCTGTTTTCCAAGTTGGGCGTTTTTTTCTGTAAAAAGGAGTTCCAAGCAATCCAATGAGCCTGACACATCTCCAGATGTGCTCAGCCTTTAGCTATGGATGTTTGTGGATGTTGTTCAGCCGAGAAAACAGCCAAAATGAAAGTCATGTACAAGTTGCACAGATAGAATTCCATGATGATCTCAGTTAACCTGCTATTAAAATACCTGAGATTGGAGTTGTTTGAGAAGTTGATTTAATTAGCGCTGAGTTTAGCTTGCCCCAGAAATCTGAAAGTGTTTTGACCACAGTTCGAGAAGAAAAAAAAACAGCAGTTTACCCAAACAGTTTAAATAACAATAATGAAATAGAATTAAGTTAAAAAAAAAAGCTAAACATCCACATGTGGTGGGGAATGAATATTGGCCAGAGTTGTATTTCTAGTAGATGCATATGCCTGTCATTGTGTGTGGCGGCCTGCATGCATTTGTGTAATTCCATTACGCAATCACACAGATCTGAAATTACTTTTAAATTGTTTTAAATGATCGTGTTGAGCAACAGGCTCACTGATACAAAGATAGTCATTTCCTGAAGTGGAGGGGAAAGAGCACAGCGGGCCTACTGGGGCCCACAACTCCGAGTTACTGCAGCAACAGTTTGGATAATAAATAGTCATAAAATTCTTGATGACGTGCGTCCACCCGGAGGGCAGGACTGGGATGGACAGTGGGGGATGCTGGCAGCTATTGTCAGAAGTTGGGGATCTGATTCTTGTCTGAGACATAGGAAATGAGGCCATGAAGTGTTTGAGTCTTATTGAGAGAAATAGGGAAACATTAGATTAATGCAGTCTGACCCTCCCTACATAACTTCCCTGAAGTTATGTAATTTCTCGCTTAACTGTCTAAAGGCCGTATTTCCTCTTGAGGAGAGGGTATGTTTAATCCCAAACAAAAACACAGACTCCCCCATTTACTGTATCTTAACAGGATATTGAGTGCGGTGGGATCTGGCATCACCTGAAGACTACTGAGATATATCGCTATATATCGAGATATATCGCTGCTCATCAGTGCTTTTCTCCCCTCCCCGGCTGGCTCGTCCAGGCCGAAAAGCTTTCACGTGAAAGAAACCTCTGCCAGATTGTTCTCCGCGTCTCCATCAGAGCCGCGAGGAATACTTGAGTCATTTGTCAGACTGGTTGTAGCTGCTGAGACGTCCAAAAGGGTGGAGTTTGGATGCTCCGCTCGGGGTCATGGAGGTAGTATTTCACAGAGTTACCCAAAACCAATCAGACTGCACTGGCTGCCAGAATAGCCATTCGTGGAATGCACAAATTGAGGATCTAAATCTCTCGGCAGATTCTGTCTCGAGCTCTTTTTTTCCCCTCTTTACAGAAGTCTAAAGGGAACCGTTGTGCAGTTTACTCACATACAGTAACCGGATACGAGAGATTCTGGTGACTTGTGACCTTTAATAATTCAGTTGTTGAACATTAATCACGACATACGACAAAACGCTGGCCAGTAATGAATAATTCTATTGTCCATATATGGATATAATCTGGGGTTGTACGGTGGTGTGGTGGTTAGCATCATCGGCTCACAGCATGAGGGATACCAGCTCAAATCAGCTTATCGGTATATTAATTCACAAAGAACTGTCAAGCTCTGCTTAAATTGGACTTCTTGAAACTCGTGGAATGTTTGAAGCTTTCCCAAAAGAAACAATTAAATCCTATTTGCAGGTTTTTATCATTTTTCTCCAAGACTGCGAGATAAGCCTTTTTAACTTGACCTAATATGAAGCTACTGAGTTCAAAGCAAACACAAGAAACTTGTGCCACAAAAAAATGGACCAGACCCTCTGTAGGACTAAGAGTTGCTTCCACCTTCTGAGCTGCCATTCCTGGATTCTCTTTCCTCCCCCTGGTTAGGCTTGGAACGACCATACTAACTATCACATTTTGACCCCAAGCTGATAAAAACTCTATCCTAGCGTTACAGTTACTCCTCATTTAAACGCCTCTAGTAGACTAGATACTGGGAGCTATATCTTTCCCATGTAGTGCCAAAGTATCTAAACATCTAAAAACACCTGGCCACTTCCCTAATGTAAAAGCTAACTGACCTTTCCATTTTCTATTCTATAATTTCCTCTATTTATGGAGATGCTTCTAGAGATTTTATTAATTCCCTCTATTATTATCCTCATACATGACACTACTGTTTCTGAATGCTTCTTTTCTATACACTTCTTATCTAAACACTTTGAGGCGCTTTTAATTATGTTCTCAATTGTTACCCTTATTTTCACTAGGTTACAGCGTTTCTTTTTACATGTCAAAGCTCTGCAAAGCTCAATTATGTTCCAGGGTCATCACCAAAGGGGGGTTACTCCATCCAACCGAAAACGCTGTTGCTGTGATAGCCAGATGAAACGGCTCGTTTGTCCTTTCGGCTCCTCTTCCTTTTCCAGATGCTATCGCTACAAAGCAAATTTGCCTAAATCTGATTAGAGGCTGGTTTGGCAAGGCTTTCCGGAATTTCTTTTTTTTTTTGCTCTAACAAAGATAGCGACTGCTACTGTCAGCTACTGTCTCATCTGAAAATGTCATTCTCCAGGACACTTTCAAGGGATGTGCTGTGTTAAACGTTCCCTCTTTCTGGTCGTTGTTGCATTTATTTAGGTGTCTGAGGTCACCGGCGAATGCGAAACCCTGAAGCTCAACCTTGGTATGTACTTTTAGTTTCAATTTGTTGGAAAGAACTTCAGTTCAGGAGCCAATCTATTGGTAATTTTCAAAAGTGCATCACTCCATAAGACAACTCAACCTTCTTTACAAAGCCTCAACCTCTATGAGAGAAATGTATGTATGAAGTATCCCAGAAAAAAATCCTCTGCCTTTAAGTGAAAATGATGCATTCATAATCTTAGAACCTTTTGCTGTCAATTTCTGAAGGACTAGTTTGATATCAGAATGATTTATAGAGGAAAACTTTGTTCCAGAGCCTACAGGTGACATCTTTGAATGAATCATTTTAGTTTTTGCTTTTACTTTAAAAGAGAAGAAAGACGTTGTTTTTTTCTCTTAATTTTACTACGAAACAACATCTAAACCATGAGAGGAAATGTATTTTTTGCTATTATTCTCACCAAAAAAAAAGAAAAAGGAAAAGGCTCAGTCATATTTATCTCAGTGATGACATTAAAGGGTTAAGTAGCGTTAAGGATCGGAGCATTTCCTGCACCTTGAGCCCATCATTGGGCTGTTGCTTTGCAATAAATTGAGTGATGGCACAATTGAATGGTAGCATCATTCTACTCTGCATTTTGGTTTGGTTGTTTAACCAGTTTAAACGGAGCAAAGCGATCGAGCATGCAAAGAAATTCACATCAGCCTGTTCCTCATTCTCTCTCCAATAGAAATCCCCTACCCAGTACACACAAACGCACACACTTGATGCACAGGAAGTGAGTAGGGCTTGTGAACGTGAACTTCTCTGCCGAACCCTTTTTTCTTCGACTTTATCCGCAACTGGAGACAGCACAGCCCCAACTGTCACCACGGTAAGTTTGTCTACTCAGGGCAAGCGTAGGCCTACCAATTATGTTTCATTGCTTTAAAATGTTGCGTTGCCTTTGTCTAGCTGTTGGTTTTAATCCCCGGAAGATGGATGTCCTGAATCCGCCCGTCTCTACAAATGCTGTTATAAATAAAATGCCGCCTTTTGATCTGTTTTATTTAATATATATCATGCGAAAGGAGGCATATTTGCCTCCTTTCGGTTGGACGCGTTTTACATATTTTTCACCTGAACGCTCTCTGTGAACCTGTCATACCTACTTGCCTTGAGGAAAAACGAAGGTTTTACCGATTGTTTTCTCTGGATCTGCTCCCATCACGTCAAACACTGGAAATGGGAAAAATAAACCCACAGTGAAAGGTCAGCTTAAACGTCTGTGCAGAGGGCTAATAACGTAAGCAAAGGCTGTGGCTCTGCATCGTGGTGGACGTTTCGGTGGATGTGTTGGAGTGATAAATGTATTAGCTGCCTTCAGAACCAGCACACACTGTTAGTGGGGTGTGTTATGGGGTTGGAACCATCCTCAGCTCCCCCCAATGCTTCTTTGCCGGCTCTATCTCCAAGTAACGACGCCAAGAGAAAACATTCTTTGTTTTAACTGCAATTTGTTCCACATCTGCGCCTCATTCTTTATCTAGTCCGCTCTCAGCTCTGTCTATTTTAGGCACAGGCTATGAAAACGACCAAATAAGCAACAGGATATTAATGTGAAGCACCTCATAAATGTCTGAAAACGTGGACACCAGCGGACTCGAGTAAAGTGGTGGAAATAGAAATCGTGCTGATTCTCAAACCGTCTTTCAGTTCAGTTTCATGAAGGTGGGAACAGGAAGTTGTGTTTGGGGGAGATAAAAAACAGTGGATGGAATAAGTTACTTCCCATTTGTGAACCACGTTCATACAGTAATAGCAGCTTTTCCACTACTACCCACTCTTTGTACCGACTCTTAGTGGGATTTTTGCAATTCCACTAGGGGCTGGCCCCTTTACACATTTACAACTTTAGAACTTACGCGGTCTGGGTTCCACCAGGGCTGAGTAAGGCTGATGGAACAAACATCCAATTTCATTATATGTGAATACGTATCACACACACATATGTGTGTACATACAAATATCAATGTATATAGTTGGCCTGATGTCAGCTGTGTATTGGCTATTGATTCATGCTCTAACACACAGTTGGCTGATAAATGCTTAGATTGAAGCGAGCAAATATTTAGAGTTAGCCAAGCCTTGGCCATCACTGAAACTGGATGTTTTCAGATGCAAGACATGCAAGAAATTAATCAAAATTGGACTGAAGCAGCTCAATCTAACATTGAATTGCTGCTAGTTGTATTAGCTAGACAAAGATCGATCGTTAGCCAATTTCATGTCACGTCATTTGGTGTATGTTCGTGTAGGGTTTGGGGCCTTCTGTCATTATCCTAATTTCATCAAAGCACAAAGTAATCTAAGCATTTTGGAGTGGAGGCTTATAATTCTGTGAAACATGCATTTTCCCCCTCTGCCAAAATTGAGATGAGAAAATGAATACCTCATGTCTGTATAGCAAAGAAATAGAATCGCGAGAATGACCCAAAAGTCTCCAAAGGACCGTGTAGAGCAGCAATACCTGCATTACCTCATGCATTTTCTATTAATGATAAAATAAGAAATTCCTTTGGTGTTCATTTGTATTTTTAAGGTACTGAAAAAAACCTCTGAGGGTGTATGAAAACTAGGGCTTATGAATTATCGTCTGAGAGAGTTTCTTACAGACGATGCAGGAAAAAAATGAAAAGAAAAACTCAATTAAGTTAAGAAAAACCAATAACTTTATACTTTTCTACGATGTGTCTGGTTTTCCAGGCAACGTTTGCTTTATTTCATTCCGGCTTTGCCAGCCTGACATGAAGATGTTCAAACCGAACTCGGCCTACATCGAGTGCAGATGTTGAAGCTTAAGAAAGCGATTGGCCGCCGCAGTTGAAGCCAGCTGAGCTCTCCACTTCCTGCTTGTCACATCCTGCCTGGCTGACAGCTCATAAAGTGACAGGCTGCGGTGAAGACCTTAATCTCCCGTCTCATCTCTGGCTACAGGGGGGAACTTTCTGTTCTCTCCGTCCCTTTATTCTTCTTCCAGCTTTGCATAAATCCTGAGATCTCTCTCTCTCTCTCTCTCTTTTCTTATTCCTAAAATTTGTAGCTTATCAGTTTCTGCTCTAATCTGAAACAGGCGTGGAATTTGGGAATATTTATAGGGCAGAGACTGAGAGAAAGTGCTGTACCATTTAAGGGAAATATTCAAATCCTGCCTGGCTTTAGCTGATCTCGTTGGCAATGCCTATTCTCATAAAAATACGAAAACTAACTAATTACCTGAGGGGAGGCAGTTTTTTCATTCCATTTGGTCAATTTTCTACGCTTACTTTTACCAGGTCTTGTCTCACGCTAAATATTTTTTTTCTCTTGTCCTCACAGGATCCGATGCAGGCCGTAAATTCAGACTCCTGGATTCCGCTTGGCGAGAGAAGCCTGGAGGAGTTTGCCCAAAATATGGCAGCGGGCATAATTCAGTCGTTTCAAAACCAACTGGAAAAGCTAGAGCCTGGGCAGCCCGGCCCTGATGAAGGCCGCGGGGTGTTGGCCGAGGCCTTGGCATCTGCGGTAATAGAGACGGCTCTGAGGGAAGTGAGCGGGGTTCACGCCTGGGGCTCAGACAGTTCAGTACTGGCTTTAAAGTCCCATCGCCAAAAGGCGGAAAAACTGTATTTCGTGGATAAATCTGGGGAAGACGAGGGAGGGGACTTGTTGGATTCCGTTCAAGAAATCCAGACGGGCGCGGAGGTTCAGGGCTACCATCCACCTCTGTCCCAGTCGGGGCTGACCATAGCTGGATCCCTGGACTACCCGGACGCCCCGCCGACCACCCCCCTGCTCCCGGAGCTGGAGAGGAGCCGGCACAGCTTCGCCCGAAAGCTGAAGGGGGGGCTGGCGAAGGTTTTCCTGCCCTCTCCTCCGCCCCCGACACCGAAGGACCGAGAGGACCACTCGGACGGCACGACCGCCGACCCTCACCTGGAGCTGATGGAGCTCTTGGTGCATTCGCTGACCACAGACGACTTGGCCGGGGACGGTTCGGACGTGGCCTCTCAGCCCAGAGCCGGTATGGAGGCTTTTGCAGAGGCTCTGTCCTGGGACATCTTGGACTGGGCCTTGACTGTCAAAACCAGAGATACGATCGCAGATCAGAGCGATGTTCATCGACTGGCGCAGCAACTTGCCGAGACCATTATCTCCTCCTCTCTCGATAAAGCCAAAATGCTCGACTAGCATTTCAACATACCGACCAAAAGTACTTTTAAAACTAGCTTCTTATCCATTCTGGCTAAAAGCTCCACATGTTGCTGTGGCGATAATGGCTTCAGTCAAAGATGGATGTGTAATTCTGGACTGTGTTACTGTCCACTGAAAACATCAATAAGGGAATGTGTCCTTTAGATGGCAGCACAGGAGAAATAGTCCTGCTTTGAGCAGGGCGCCAGTAAAATGGTCTTTTTTCAAATGTACGCTCTCTGTATATATAAATGATTTGCACTTAGTTTTTTGTTTGTGTGCGTCATGTCTGATTCACTGATAAGTTTAGCAAGAATAACTACAGCGAAGACATACTGCATCCAGTAGTCAGATCCAACTGTAAGATAGGAAGAAACTGCACTGCAGTTATTTTGTTAATGATTATTCATCACAACGCAAACAGAATTACAAACGAGTTACATGTTTTTTTGGAAGCGATTGCCCTCCTCGGGGCAACCACTTCCAAACAGGCTCTCTATCTTCATGAATAAAGCATTGTTCTTCTGTCCGCTTGACCAAGCTGAATATTGGCATGTTGGATGAACTCTTTGTTCTGTCTCAAAGAAAACTCATCTGAATACACACTTGCATGTTTATGTCCAATCTGGACAGAGGAAGAACCACAAATTTTAACCAAAGAGAATTATATGACTGTAAATAAAAAACAAAAATCCCAGAAGGAAAGCGCTCTTTAAGGCCTTAGCTGAAAGCTTTAAAGAGCAGTTTCCAGTCGACTTTTTCGTTATCTTTCATGCTTTTGTCCTTTTGTCTGTCACTCGATCCGGTGTGCACACGTCAAATTGGCTTTTGGGACGCAGACTGTTCTTCTCTCTTTTATGCTTGGATTTGTGTTGGACCGCACAAAAACACAAACAGATGTGCAAATAGTACAAAGTGTGTTTTTGCGCCAGTGCCTAAGAACTCAGCTCAAAACAAAGTGTGTGTGTCTGTGGACCCCTGACGGCCTAATGGAAGTGGCACAGAAGCAAACTAAGGAAGAGTTTAACAACACACTCCCATATACTTGACGTACAGCCTAACCCTACCTGTGGGATTTTCAGTGTAAGCCCACCATTTACATTTAGACTCAAATATTTCGGCTGACACTGGGTCCAAGTTTAATCGTAAGAAATACTCCACCAAACATTTACAGTGCAAAAGTAGCTCAAATAATCCCACATGTGCTGTCTCTCAGTGTTGCAAATTGAAATTATGCTGTGGTTATAGATTGGGCTTTTATTAGAGCAGAGCGACACATGGGAAATGCTGTAAGTCCTCATAGCCAATAAAAGCATAAGATGCTTTTCACCACTGGACAAAAGAAAAAATACAAACGTCATAACAGGCATAGATTCACGGGAAATGTTGCTGTAATAACATACAGTTAAGATGAACTCTTTTTGTGTTCATCTTAACTGTGGAGTATTTAGGTGAATGTGAGTCCAGTTCTGTGTGTACTTTTTGGAGTGATTTGACCCCCTGACTGTTTTGTTTGGGTTTGCCAGTCTGGCGTTAAGAAAAACAACTGTGGTCGTATTGACAAGTTCACATGTCATTTCAGAGTCTGGTAGAATGAACACGTCAACATTTACACTTAATGACTAATCAACTGGAATGTGTGTTCCAGTTTGAGTGGCATGGCTTTGTTGCTCATACTGGCATAAACAGGTCATGTTTTTCTTTTCTTTTTTCTTTCCAGAGGCCTAAAGTCAATATGAATGTGGATTAAGATAAAGAATGATACAAATAGAGGCATGTTTAATACCGGCATTTCAAACCTGCCTTTGCAAGCTTTAGTAACTTTAATGACAAAACACTTTTGTCTACTTTGTTTGTCACAGCAGTTTGTTTGTCTGCAACTTTGGATAAGAAGCACGCCCAACACGAAATGCAATATCAAGACCAAATCTGCTCAGGCTGACTTTAAGCCAGACAAGATCGTGAAGCTCTGCATGCTTTCAATGTTTTTTCATTTGCGAGTTAAAATTAAAGTTTGCGATTTAAAAAAAAAAAAAAAGGCCTTTGGCTGATTGGAATTTTCTCAAGCAAAATGTGTTTTAATTCTCACTGTATTTTATTCTCAAGTTATAGAAATACATCCTTTTAATTTTCCTTGAAACTGTTTCAAATTGTGTTCCGATAATTATGGAAGTTTGCAAATAGATACAAGAATAGAAATAGTGTTGCTCTACTTTTAAGAATAAATGGAACAAAAGAAAAAGGACTCAATTAGTCTGACAACATTCCATCCTTTCTCAGAAAGACCAAACCTCTTTTAGATGATCCTTTTACACCCATCATGACACCCTCACCTGTCAGCAGTTAATCTGCTGACTGTTTAACCTTCCGGAGTCCTATTATTTTAGTAAACACTTGAGTTTTTCTTTGACCTCCTTTCCGCCTTTTTTTGTTTAGGTTTGTTTTTCTATGTGTGTGTGTTTATGTATGTTTCTAACCAGAGCTGGCCCATGGGGCCCTGAGCAAAATTAGATTTTGAAGCCTTTTATGTCTTGAAAATTATACTGATTATAAGATTGGCAAACTTGCAACAAAATCTTTTAATTATTATTTGGCTGAATCAGAGGTGGGAGGAAGCAAACTTCACACAAACTTCTAGTGGCATATACTCCCAAGCCTTTACTTACATTCAGATTCTTACAGGTTTCCAGGTTTCTTAGTGTTGATAATATGAGCCACATGCATCTAAAAAGAGAGAAGTCACTGACTGGGCAGCAGTATGCGATAGTCCCACAGCTCTGATATATAATACGTCATGGAGTGCTCATTTCAAGCTTTTACCAGAAGACACTGACTGACAGACACAGTGAGAAACTCACACACTCGCACAACTCGCACGCACATCGATAAGGTGTCGGTGGGACAGCTGTGGTGTCAGAGGAGTGCACATCTGGAGAAATGCTTGGGTTGTCAAGAGGTTGGCTGCCAGTGCGAGTGGGACTGAGAAGAAGAGATGGAAAAAAAAAGAGTCATGATTACACACAGAGGATGAATAGTTGGAGGACTACATGCTACAGTGGGAGGTAAATGACAGAAATACTAAATCTTGGCTTTTTTTGTCCACCCCCTGTGAAGGCCAGACGCACCTGGATGAAACCATAGCTCACATCTGGAATATCACCAAGTATCGCCATGACAAGTATGATTCAAGGATTTGAAATGAAATGCTATCTTTTGCTAGTTTGCTAAATGAAATCCAACAGGTTGAACAAGGGGCATACATCTAAACTCCCAAAAGTTTAAAACATCTCAGCTCAAGCAAGTCAGCAACAAAAAAAGGAACTTGCCCATTTACATTACAGTCAAAACATCAAAATGCACGAGAAACACAAAATTAACTTCTACCCTAATACTGAACATGTGGAAACTACAGCATTCATCTAGTAACCTTGTTACCAAGACGCCGAAGCGGGGCCTTCTAGAGTGTCTTGGTCCTATGGAACCGCAAAAGAGATTTACTTCCTATGAAAATATTTGTGTTCGTATGCAGTTTTTTCATGACAGCCTTCATAACTCTCAAAGTTAAGTGGATCAAATTATCACAAAGTTGTATGCTGGCCTGAGAGACGGAGTTCTTCTTCAGCCTAACCACACACATGTTTTGTTACATAATCCTCACAGAGACATGGAACGACCGCTAAAGCAAATACATAAACCACTGGAAACAGCCCACAAATGCTTATGAAATTAAGTGTAACAGAAAAAACCCAGTGAACAGTAAACAGATACTCTTTTCATGGTGCTTTGAATGCATTATTCTATCCTTATACATGAAAAATAAGAGAAAATCTGCTAATAATTCATGCAAATCTGTCATGAGTTTACTCTGGATGATGGTGCTTTTCACCTTATATTGACACTGATGAGAGAATAATGGATATCTAAAGCAAGACTCCTTGCTTTGTAAAGGCTTCACATGATTTATTTTAACCACCCTGATCACTTTGTCAAATTAGATAAATACTAAACTCAAACTGAACTGAGACCAAGATTGGAAACAAAAATTTGGTGTCTTTTTTTTTAACCTGGTGTTATTTCCATCTATATGAGTGGGAGGCAAGAAGAGCCGTGTCTCCGGCCAACTAAGCTGCAACAATCAATGTATTTTACGAGTGTATCATTGGCTATTGGCTCCAAGTTAGTAAATCAGAGAGCAGCGGGATGAGCGCACCCGCGGAGAGGGGAATGCGGGCTCGGCCTTGATTTTGATGCTGGTAAAACTACGAGCCACACGAGATCAGATTTTATTTTTCTCCATTGGTCATTCATTGTAACAACTGCAAATGTTGTCTTGTATTGAACAGGGAATAAAGGCATAAAGCCACAGGGCAGATACTTAGGCTGGGCTTGTTAGCTGGATATTCAAAGTCTATGCGTTTAGCATACAATTGAAATACAATACAGTTGAAAATTGTCGTATAAACATATAATATCAACTTTTCAAAGATCGGCTCTTTGTATCCTACTGACAGCATCCCACTTCTCGATTGAGGTTTCCCTTATTTTATACCACTGGAATCTGTCATGATCAGTTTGAATCCAAAACTAAGCCTTGTTGGAAATTTAGAAGCTCGATTTTGGGCGGACAATCAAGAAAATCCACAGGACTTCCCATCTGGCTCTGGTGTTTATTGGAGGGTGTTTCTGGTTGATGCTGACAGTGGTGAACTTCTCTTTGGCAGTGCGCGCGTTCTGGCAGCACTGGAGCAAAGAAACACTTCAAGTTTTTAGCCTGTAGCAATAGCCAGGGCAACAAAAGTCAAAAAGTCAAATCCGCAACAGCACTACCAAAATGGTTCATTTGATTTTGAATCTCACAGCACAGCATTTCTACGAGGAAGAGGAGATTTCAGTGCAGGTGGTACATACCGACCCCCTTTTCGAAGTGTATCGGCCATCTGGCTGTTGGAGGCCTTGAAATATAATCAGGCTATCAAAGAGCTACATCTACAGCCATCCCAGAGCCTTTATAATGGAAAATGTGGGACTCTTCGTGCAATTCTCCTCAAAGAATGTCAGTGATTTTGATTTATCTGTCAATGCATTGGTGTTTCTTTCCATCCCACTTGGCCACCACGATCTGGACTAAGAGTACGGTTATGGTCAATAGGCCCCAGTAGGAATGCATCGCTTTCACATGTGTTTGCAAGAAAAAAAAGAGAAAAAAAACCTGTGGAAGTTGACTTGGGACAATTTCGCTGGATCTCTGCCACAAAAGCTTTCATACGGCAAAAAAATAAAAAAAATAAAAAAGCATTTAGGAGTTGTTGGATTGGTGGTTTGAAGGACTTGCTGCTGGGTTTTACAGAAAAAGAGGGCCCAGGGGATCATTTAGAATTGAGCGCCCTGTAGTTGAAACTGATAAAAGGCGACATTAAAGACAATGAAGTCGATGACAATAGAAGCCCTTTTAAAAAGTGCTTTGCGTTGTGTTTATTTAACAAGGGGTGGAGGCCTCGGTTGACATGCAAGTTTCCCCTTTTTTGTTAGCCGCGCATGCCAAAGAAATCTAGCGTTGCTCGTCACCGGGTGACATCACATATCTCCGCTGACCCCCTGGCCCTGTTGTGCTTTTGTAAGCTTGACTTCAAATATTTGATCGAGGCGGCGGTGATAAACTGGACGGCGTTGGGTAAATGTTTGCTCTCAAACACTGTAAAGCTCTGTAATTGAGCAAAGACATACACACAAACACGGGAGGTTACAGCTTAGAAAACACAGAGATCCACCAGGACAGAGAATTCATTTGGTAAAGCTAAGAATATGACATTGT